TTCCTTTTGGACTTGTTGAGTTTGTTAGCTTTTGTCTGAGCACAGCCTTGTATCTCAAGACAGGGCTGTCCTTTCCTTCCAGGCCAATGAGGGGATCCTGTCTGAACATTACCATGAGCTGCGGAGGAAGCCCTTCTACCCTGCACTGATCCACTACATGACTTCAGGCCCAGTGGTTGCTATGGTATGGCTGTGAGTCTGGCTTGCCATCTCAGTGCACCCATGAGGAGAGCAGGAGAAGGGGTTGAGATGATGGCTTTAGGGAGGGGAGGTGTAAGAGATGGCTTAAGCTTCATTGTATCTCTCAATGGAAGGGAATCTTCCCATCCATTATTATTAGACCCTCTGTGGGTTTGGTTTTTAAAGTGGGTTTGTACACACCAAGATCTGAATGGATAATGATCCCCACAGGGGCAGTAATGGGGAGAAGCAAGGCCCATCCCTTGCTCCGCTTGGTAGAGCCAGGGGAGACTGGCCTTGTATGACTGCCCAGTTGGGCAAAGCTGAAGTGTGGGCACCCTGCAGCCCTTTCACTGTAGTCATCTGAGGAGGCTGAGTGCCATGAGGCAGAGGAAAAGCTGATGGGTTTGTGCTGACAGCACTCCTCCAGTGCTTCCCGAGTCCCAGGCCTTCCTGTCTGGCTAGCTTTGCTCTCTGCCTTGACTTGCTCAGCCCCCATTGTTTTCTCACATTTGTTTTTTCCTTCCCACTTGTTCTGTTTCCTCCATTTTTCTCTTGGCTCTGTTCTCTGTTCCCAGTTGGGAAGAAGAGACATGCTACACTTGCAAATTCAGCTGAGTCCACCCGCAGTGTGAGAGCATCTGCCTTCCCCAACAAATCCACACAACAGTGAATGTGGTTGACAGAGCAGGTGGAAGTGGGGGGCGTCAGAGTTCTCTCTTCCCCAGAGAAATTTCAGTGGGAGTTTGTGCTGCTGGCTGGAGTGACTCACTGATTCTCTCCAAGCACAGCCTCATGCAGCCCATTTGTGTCACAGGTGTGGGAAGGTTTCAACGTGGTCAGGACTTCCAGAGCTATGGTAGGAGATACCAATTCCACCGAAGCCAAGCCTGGGACAATCCGGGGAGATTTCAGCGTCCATGTCAGCAGGTACAAACATTCAACACCAATCCAGCCATTGCATAGCATCAGTGTGCTAGGCAGTGCCAGGTGTGAGGGCTCCAGCAGACCTACCAGGTCCTGACAGTGTGACTGTTTGCCATCCTTACCATGTGCTTCTCTTGACAACAGGAATGTTATTCATGCCAGTGACTCCGTGGAGACAGCCCAAAGGGAGATCAGCTTGTGGTTTCACAGCAGTGAGTTGGTGGACTGGGAATGCTGTGATCACAATATCACTTACCAGCTCTAAAGGCCTTCCCTTGCTGAGTTGCTCACCAGGATCTACCTCTGATAGCAAGTTGCCTTTCCATAGCCCCTCTCAGCCCAGCAAGTACACCCCCAGGCCACACTTGCATCACACTGACTCTGCTGGAGGGGACAGATTTTCCCCTTCATGTTGCCAACTACTGATTATGTTGGACTTGTCCTTCTTCTTACCATGGTGCCCATAAACCCTTGATGATCAGATACATGTGAAGTAAGACGGTGGCATTAAGGCCTGAAAAGATTCACATTAAAATTGAATTTGTTACAAATGTGTATTGCTGGTGTCTCTTATTCTTCTGTTTTCCTGCCTTCGTTGGTGGGGAGTAGAGTCTGGTGGGACAGACCATCTCTGTGACTGATAACCTAAACAGAATAGCTCCTAATTCCTATGTACAACTAAGAACATACAGTCAGCCTCCCTGAGCCTTCATTGTATATCTCGTGGTTGAACACTGAGAAGGAACTCTGCAAGCGAGGGCCCTGGGTGAGGAGCAGCAGCTGTCCATCATGACTCTGGGGAGAAGAAGCACAAAATTTGGAGGAGGCTTTCTTGCACCTGGGGTGGAACAATGCCATGCACCAATACAGGCTGGAGACTGACTGGCTGGGCAGCAGCTCTGCAGAAAAGGACCTGGGGTTACAGTGTGTGGTGGGAGAAACCTCCCTAAGGTTCGTTGTCTAGCTGTAATTTGATTGACAGACAACGCGGGTAAAGAAAGACAGCTGTTTATTTGCTTGAGCAAAGACCATAAAGCCAGCAAAAGGCAAAATGGCCCCCCCCTAAGGGTGAGGTGATCTTTTATACTTATTACAACAAGGCAAGACTTCATGGTTAACAAAAAAAGCAATACTTGGGCGGTGCTTTTCAAATCTTTGTAACAGCATATTTTTATTAAGCTGAACTAGCACTTTTTTAAAAGCTAAAAGTTAAGTAACAGTAACATTATAATGTGTTAGCAAAACCTTACACAGTAGTAGATACTTCTCAAGGACACAACCAGTGCACCCAGAACAATGGTTTCCCTGTCTTATTTTACTTCTTGCTGTAGCTGATTTTTCAGCACACAGACACAGAGATACTTGCTGCTTTTAACTCAGAAAATGCTTAATACAGTTAAAATGATTACTTGACACAAGCAAAGGCTTAGCTATCAATCTGCCTTGTGGTCAGCTGCATTGCTAGGCCACAGGTCATGCCTTGTATTCAGCTGTAAAGCTAATACTTCTTAATAATCTAAATTATTGTTAACCTAACAGTATGCTTATCAGAAAACTATTCTATTTTGCCATGAAGGCTAATAGGATACTGGGCTGCATTGGTAGGTGTGTTGCCAGCAGATCCAGGGAAGTGATTCTTTCCCTCTTTTCAGCACTAGTGAGGCCACATCTGGAGTACTGTGTCCAGTTTTGGGGCCCCCACTACAGAAGGATATGGACAAATTGGAGAGAGTCCAGTGGAGGGCAACGAAAATGGTTAGAGGGCTGGGGCACATGACTAATAAAGAGAGGCTGAGGGAACTGGGCTTATTTATTTTAGAAAAGAGAAAGCTGAGAGGGGATTTAAGAGCAGCCTTCAAATACCTAAAGAGGGGTTCCAAAGAGAATGGAGCTAGGCCCCTGGTGGGCAAAATGGTGGAGCCAGCCAGCAGCAGGACTCCATTTCCCAGCAGCCCCTGCCCACAGCACTGCAGCTGGTTTCCATGGAGACCCTGGCTCTGGCAGGGCCAAGGTTTTCATGCAGACCAGCCCCAGTAGCGCTGGCAGGACGTGTGGCTGGGCCGGGAGCTGCTCTAGGGCTGGGGTTGGGACCTTGCGGTTGTGACAGCATGGTCCGGAGTTAAGGTAGAACTGGGATCCGCTGCCTGCACGCCTTGGCAGGAGCATGCAAGTAGTGGATCGCAGCTCTTCCCCAGCTCTAGACCATGCTGTCACTGCCGCAAGATCCCAGCCTCAGCCCCAAACCAGCTCCCCATCCAGCCATGCGCCCTGACACCGCTGCTCAGGCCAGTCTCCATGGAAACCCTGACCGCAGCAACGTGTGCAGGGGCTTCTGAGTCCACTGTGGGCCTGATCCGACCTGTGGGCCAGCTTTGCCCACCCCTGAACTAGACTCTTCTCAGGGGTGGCAGATGACAGAACAAGGAGCAATGGTCTCAAGTTGTAGCAAGGGAAATTTAGGCTAGATATTAGTGTAACCGGGTGTCCCAAAATGAATGTCCCCCCTCACCAATGGAAGGGTAAATCCAGCAGGGCACACATGCTGGCGTGGAAACTGCAGTCACTCGCAGTTCCTTCCCACTTATCATGTCTCAATAGAGGCGGGACAGAAAGCTATGCCTTAACCAGGTACGAATTTAATATAGGTATATATAAAATGGCAGTGAGCTAAAGTGAGTATTTACAGGTTATAAATGCATATAACTATATACATATCCAAATACAAATGGTAAGCATAATGGTCCCAAATTCTATGAACAGATACGTACAACAATAAATGACACTCTAAAATACAAGGCGTACAGTTAACAGTTAATAAACACTCCAGAAATGCACAGCACATATCAAACAATCAATAAACACTCCAAAATATGAGACACAAGAGTTCTCTAGTGGTTCCCCTCCTCTAGCGTGTCTCTTCCTCCTGCCTCTTTATTGAGGCTACCTTCCCCGAATGTCACTCCAAGGTGGGAGACCCACTGCCCCACTGACCCACTGTGCTCCAAGGAGCCGGGTGGGGCAGTGTTCATAAGCTCCCTGGCCTGGCTAATGTTTCTCTAGGGAGGGCTCAGTCCAGGCTTCAGGGGAGCAGCATGACTTGCTCACACGTCCCAGTGTCTCAATCCTTCTCAGGGGGAGTTGTGGGCATGGACTGCCTCGTGCATACCCAGGGCCATGCCACTCTGAAATGCTGCTTCCTGTGCTCGGGAACTGCTCTAAGCACAAGACCCTTGAGGACTCATTGCAGGGAGTGGGTCCCAGACCGCCTGGGCCCCTCCTCCTCCTGGGCCTTATGCCCTGCAATGACTCACCCCGCGGTAGCGCTGACTCCCTCACGCCAGGGCTGGAGACCCGAGCCACCTCACTGTGGCTCCCAGGGTCCCAGTCCCTTGCAGACCCCTGTGCAGTGACGCCTGCACCGCAGCCCAACCTCATGCCAGGGTTGGAGACCTGAGCTGCCTCGCTGTGGCTCCCAGGATCACGGTCCTCATGGACCTCTGTGCAGCAATGCCTGCACCGCCTACTACTTCCGTCCAGCAGCAGAATCTTTCAGGCTCATCTGGGCAGCTGGATACACCCCCTGGGCAGCTCTCTCAGCAAGTCTTGGCCCTGAGACCTTTTCCTTCTTCATCCTTTGCTGACTGCACTGCATGCTCAGCATGCAGCTGCTTATATCCCCTCTTGGGGCTCCGTCCCCAGATTGAAAATGAACCAATTAGGGGGGCTGCAACTGCAGTTCCCAATTAAGTCCACTCCTGCCCCCACCCACTTTGGAGTAGAGGGGGAGCGGACTCTCCTCCTGTCTCCTTCCCTGCCTGTCTCTGATTGGTGGGGTTTGCTCCACCAGTCGCATTCGTGGTCTCCTAAGCCCAGAGAGCCCGTTGAAGCCCGGCAAGCCTGCCACTTTAGGAAAAACTTTCTTACTAGGAGAGTAGTAAAGCACTGAACAGGTTACCCAGAGAGGTTGTGGAATCTGCATCCTTGGAGGTTTTTAAGACCTGGGGAGACAAAGCCTTGTCTGGGATGATGCAGTTAGGGATGGTTCTGCTTTGAGCAGGGCTGTAACAGGGAGCTGCTTCGCAGTCTCTCGTACAAGCAGGAGCCCATGTGCAGCCAGAGTCTCTGCTTTACTCACCCAGGAGCCATGCTGGGCTTCCGCAGTTGGTGGCGGGCTCACCCGGATATGGCTGGGAGCCAACTCTGACACCAGAGACATGAGGGACCCCAGGAGTGACAGGGCCCCCGTCTGACTCAGACAGAAGCTGCACCGGGATCCCACCACTGCTGGTCAGCCTGTGCCAGAGAGAACCCAGAAGTGTCAGCAAACCCTGGCTTCTGGCAGTCCCCAGCTGCTGGCAATCATGTGACTGGAAAGGTGGAGATGATTGGACCCCTGGACATCCAGCGGATTTCAAAGCAAGAGGGCTGAGGCCCATAACCCCGCAGAGAGGCGAGTGCATGGTCTCCTGGAGGAGAGTGGTACACATCTGTGTGGAGGTACAGAATAGGACCAGGAATACTACAAACCCAGGTCCCAGCCTCAGGCAAACCTTGGATGACTGGAGCAAGCCAGTAAAGGGTAACTGGTGGACAAGAGCAAGCACCCCTAATTTTCTATGATTCTAAGGAAGTTTTGCCCCTCCTGTTGCTGTAGATGTCAGGGTACTTTTTGACCTTTCTCAGAAGCATTTGGTGTTGGCTGCTGCTAAAGCTGGGGATTTTGACTGGAATGTACCAGTGCTCTTAGTGGGACTAAAACCTGGACATTTCTGCCCCTCTGCTCAGGGTCAGACTGAGTTGAGATCAGGAAGGAATTTAACCCCACATTCAGATGAAGATGGACCGTGAGGGATTTTGCATTTGTAACAGGGGCATGGCCCTCTTCCTTAGCTCTCTAGAGCACATTTTAATAACATTTGCAGCAGCAGGGTGCTGACAGCCCTTGTCCCCCTGTTTATCTGTGACAGGTCAGGGTGCTTTTGGTGCCTTTGAGCAATTTGCCTTGTGCAGCAGGATTGATTGTGTAGTTTTAGGAGTAGGTTATGGGATGGTTTGGATAGAGAGCAGGGGATTGGACTATATGACCTCTGGAGATCGCTTCCAGCCCTACCTTTCTGTGATTCTGTGATGACAACATTTAACACTGGGTGATGCTTGACTTTGAGGAGCAGCAGTGTGCATTGGCTAGTTGTTCTACTACTGGTACCATTCTGCTAATCAGGATTTTTAAGTTGCTCTGGTAGAGGGGACAATATTCTTCCTTGGTTTCTTTCACAATCCTGCAGGTGGTCTGGTCCTGATAGAGATTTTTGCTGCACATGGAGACCTCCCTGTCCTGTCAGGAGTCCCCATATTCACTAAGGACCACAGACCATTGTCCCACACTCTTTATTGTAAAAAATGAAACAGCCACCCATTGCACCACAGGAATCAGAAACTGGTCCACTGACCATGATATCTCATACTACAGCACCACCAAAACCTTAAACTGTGTAGGCCTGTGCAAAGCAGCAGGTATTTACTTCAGATTTGGATTTGGC